ATTTTCTCTTTCTACTTTAAGGTGAAATACTTATCTGTGTACACACTATGAAAATATTATCAAATCTTTACTGTAAGTTACTTTAAAAATTTCCAGCCACCCCGTTTCCCTCTTTCTACATCCTACAACCAAGATTCTGTCAGACTACTAGATTTCTTTCCCCACTGTGTTAATTTTATCTTCTAGTTAATCTTCCATACTACTCATTTTATTGTCCATATTTAATAGATATACATTAATTTTATTCTCGTAAAAACATGCAAGGATTTTCACTTCACTTTCTGATGAAGAAACTGAGAAACCATAAAGGAATGTGGGAGGAATATTAGGCGGGTGGGGAACCTCCACGTGGCTCTATCTGCATTAGAGTCAGCTGACTCTCACAGTCACTAGAAGACTAAAGAAATATTAACTAGTTGCCTTTATCATTGGTTGGGTCGAAACAACTATGATATAACATTTTTCGCTCTAAACTATTATCTCACAGAGAAAAGCATGGATTAAGGCAGCTAGCATTTTCCAGTAGGACACATTAATGCCTTTCTTGGCTATGGAAACTTTTCTTAGCTTGTTCCGGGAACCTACTAGAAAGCAGTTCCAGTTCAAATCAACAAAACTTCTATTGAAAAGTTGTTACATGTTAAGATTCATTTCATAGAGTCAGACATGAAGTGCCGTGCACTATATACCAAACGTCTAGCCACGAGCCCACTTGCCCCAAATAGCCTACCCCATTGAGACAAACCTTGGGACATGGGGGTTCTAAAACGGCAGCAGGTATTTTATTTATAAAGTCTGCAGTTCTGCTTTAACTCGGAAGCTTTATAAAAGAAAATGATCAACAGCCAGGGCAAGCATTATGCCCTGAGAGGGCTTTCCTGAACTACCACCACTTCTCTGCATGCTCTCGGGATAAGCTCTGCGAGGGCCCTGTTTCATTTTACCTTGAGTCGAAAATTATTTTTGTTCTCAAAAAAAGCTTCCTTAAAGATGGTTCTAAGTTTAATGTAGCAAATTGAGGGCAAAATCCAGATTGAAATAGACTGCCGCCTATGCAGTTGTTCAGGTAGAAAAGCTGGCTTAGCTACAGCAGAAAAGGAAAACATTTCTTGATAAAAAAATAAAAAACGCTAGAGAAGGGGGAACCGTTAGAGTGGGTGAAAACGTGTCTGTCGGAAAGAGCCAAGACACATAACTTAGGAGAAAACATCTCCATCAAGCAGACAACCTAGCTGACTCTAAGTATCAGCACAAAAAAAGGAGATGCTGGAAGATTCACACTCACGGAGACTTAGGGATGAGAGCATCAACGATGAGCATTTGATATGGTTCCCATGCTTGGGGACAGGAAGCTCCTGTGTGTTTGCAGTCTGTGATGGACGCAGTGACTCAGAGTTCTGTAGGGTAGTGTCATTTATTTATTTCACCAGTTTTGGATGCCAGCAACATGAAGAACGTTTTGAACAACAGCAAGTTTTGACCGAGTCTGTCTGAGCAATTAGATTTGTATTTAAAACAAAAGCTGTCTATACTTTTAAAGGCAGACAGCTGAAGAACAGAGAAGAAATTCATGATAAAACACAAGGCTCTCCTAATACTGTAAATTCTGGGTTGTTTTTCTTTAGTCTTGGAATATGCTGTCAGTTTGATGAGTGCAGTAATCTTTTAGAAATATTTAAACTAGTCCCAGTAAATGGGGGTAAAGTGTGATTCACTCATCTGAGAATTCATATAAGTGGTAGACATTGAAATAGCAAAAAATACCTCCGAATATATAGTTCTTTATTTACTGCTTATTTTTGGATTGTATACTATATTATGTTACTTCCATAGGCATCTAGTTCCTCATATGTAAAGCTATAATATACTAAGTGTTTACTGAAATCAGCAAATATGGGACACATAGGAAAATCTCTGGAAAAGTATGAGACCATTACCTATTCCCAGAACACCATGATTGCCCTCCAACATTCTTGCTTGACACATGGGACATTTTAGAAGATATGATACATGTCTAGAATTTAGGAAAAAGCCTTGATAATATTTTCTTCTGAAATATTTTCATATACCATTAAAGGCATACCTCTATCCTAACAAATCACCTAATATTAGCCTAATATTTTAATGAATGTTCCTCAAAGTGAGAAAAACTCAGAAAATTTAACTATGTGTGCTTTTGCATATATGTGGATATCTGTATCTCAAACTGTAACACAATAAAAAGTTTTCACATTTTTATGGGCATCTCTATTACTAAATATACTCTTATTCTGAGACTTCCCTAGAAAACTTTGTTGCCATCCAATTCTAGTATCTGACCCATGGCAGTCTATTTGTAGCTGCCTTATGTCTCACAATAAAGGACCTAAAATAGAAACAAAAGAACTGTGTTTGAAAATACCAAGGTCACACAGGGATTCATGCTTGTTAAAGATGATAAGATCAAGGATGTAGCATAGTACTTACTCATAGGAAGTGGGTGGTTTTTACAGGAGAAAGGGGAAGCTATAGATCAAGGAACATAAATAAAAGCAAAAGAAACTTATGAGTTCCTTGATGGAAAATAAAGTTTCTTAGATTTAGTTTTAAATGAAATTATAAGATTCAAGAATGAGTTTGAGAATGAAGAGAATAATTCTGTAGCCACTGAATGTTATATATTCTTTGATGATAAGCATCTTTTGTTTGGGGGTTTCAATTATATTCTGATGGCTTTAACACTACTAGATTCCCATAAATTCCATGCCCTCATTCTGCATAAAAAAGTAAAAGACACCAGCCAATACCCCACAGGTCAGACATTCTTATTCTTAATCCTTTTCCCCCCTTTTTCTCCCATTGCCTTTATGTTTTGAACACTTCAGTTTATCCTCAAACTGTTTAAGATAGTAGTTTTCTTAAGGAGTTGCTTCAATGGACAATAATTACTATTACTCGGTATATACTCCTGAATTGAGAAAATTTATTTAACATTTAATTATGAAACATCAAATACAGTTTTTTAACTTACTGCTTATGGAAATAAGTTTTTCTTGCCTTGTACAAAGCTACATTGTGCTTATTGTGTTTGCATTTATCATGAAATTTGGAACATTAAATTATAAGCACAAGTTGTGGGAGAAATACTCAAGCTCAAAGTCGTCCAGTTAAATGAAACAGTATATTGAGGTCACTGACACCATATTTTAAAATTGTTGTCCAAATTGTTTAGAGTATATATCTCATGGAAAATTCAAGATTATAAGCCCATGGTAAACTAATCATCCACTTCAAGAATAAGTAAACAGAATAAGTTTTCATTTAGCATATGTGGGTTTTAATCTTCTGAGTTGAAAATTTATAAAGATTAAATTATTGCTTTTAAGGTATGTGCTATTGTTCTTTTAGGTTGATCTTCTTGTTCCTACCAAAGTCACTGGCATTATCACACAAGGGGCTAAAGATTTTGGTCATGTACAGTTCGTTGGTTCATACAAGTTAGCCTACAGCAATGACGGAGAACACTGGGCTGTGTACCAGGATGAAAAACAGAGAAAAGATAAGGTAAGTCATGCACATGTTTCATAGAGGTCCAAGTAGATGGTCTGGTTCTAGCCAACTTTTGAATAAAATTTGTATACATTTATACTAAAAATAATGGTTACATGTGCTATAATCATGCTAAATAAAAACCTTAAAGAAAAGAATTTGACCTTTAGAGATGGCTCAGAAGTTCAGAACATGTACAGATCTTGCAGAGAACAGGGGTTCAGTTTCCAGCACCCACATGGTGGCTCCCAATTATCTAAGATTCCAGCTTCAGATCCAATACCCTCTTCTGGACTCAGTGGGCAGCAACCAAGCACTCACGTGATACACATACATACCTGCAGGCAAAAACTGACACATTTTTTAAAAAACTTTAAGTAAGAAAAAAGAATAAAAGAGTTAACAGTATAGTATATAATAGTGCAATCTGTAAAATACAAACGAATTTAGTAGTAAAATCTCCCATATTATGATTTATCTAAAATATGGATATGTAAAGTTCAGCTTACATTTTATAAGCTTAATAGAATCTTAAAATATCACAATTAAGACACAAATAGCTACTGCTAGGATACATACTGCTATTATTTTATAACTAAATTAGTGGTATTAGAAGTATCATTTGAGAAAAATAGTTCAGTAGGTAACTATTATAAAATATTGCACATTTTCTTGAATATGAGACACAGGAAATTTAGAGATACACATTTTTAAAAACATCTTATGTTTATGAATGCTTGGCCTGCAATAATGTAAGTGCACCATGTGTGTGTCTGTGGAAGCCAGAACAGGGTATAAGATTCCCTGGAACTGCAGTTACAGATGGTGGTTAACCACAATGTGGGTGCTGGAAACTGAATCCAGGTCTTAGAATGAGCAGCTGAATTAGCTCTCCGACTCTGAGATGGGCAATTCTTGACTGTTATGCTAAATTTTCAAGATGAGAAAACAAAACAAAAAACAACCACATACTTTTCTTCTAAATATGCCTGAATACATTGCAATTCATACATTTAACTTTTCTTTGAATTAAAAGATCTGTTTTTATGTCTAAGTATATACACACCATATAACTAAGTAAGAAATTTCTATTTTTTTAAAGTTCTTGTGATTTTGAATGTCTTCATTTATCTACTTGTTTCAGTTTCTGTGGTACTCAGAATAAGGAAAATGCATAGGGGTAGCATTATCACACAATTCTGACCATATATTATAATATACCTTCACGTGGACTAATAACACTGACTTAATTCATTGCTTAGGGTTGTGCAAAGAACACTAGCCTGCTGAAGATATTGATAGTAACTCTTAGCTCAAGATGTGGGGTAAAATGTAGCAAACTCATACATTTCAAGTATTTCTGAGATGATAAGTGTTTATTTATATATACTTCTGCTCCTTTGTTTTACATTATGAACCAACAGAGAGGTTGAGAACATCTCTCTTTATTAAAATGTTCTGAATGGAGAATTAAATACACTCAGAATGCCTCAGCAGAGAATGGCTATTTCAGTGAATCACTAGTCTGAATTCAATTCACCCAAACTTTAATATTTAGTGGAGACATGGTTTTATGGTCTGATTTAAATAGCCACATATGTTTGTTTTCACATCAAAGAACATTCTGTTTAATATCTCAGAACTCACACACTCATATTTTAAAGTCTCAGAAACTGGCATATTCTTACAATATTGCATTTTTATTAGGAAGATTACTGTTTTATTTAACAATATAAAACAATGTCATGGTGTATAGTCACTGGCATCAAGATCATATAAATATTGAGAATTTTGTAAAAAAAAAATCTTCAAATTGATTTTATAAAGTAAAAATTATTTCATTCAATGATTGTGAAAAATTATTTAAGCTCCTTCTTTTCTGTATTTATAGGAGATACCTTGGTGAATAGAGATGTGTATTTCTTAAAATGAATTTTTTTAGGCTTCATAAAATTTATAGCCTTGAAATTAATTTTAAGACAGATAAATCAATATTTTCTATGTGTAATATTTGCCACATCAGTAGTAGTGAAATCTTTGCAGTTAGCAGGGCATCTTGGTGCCTGTATCCCAACACTCAGCAGGCTGAAGAAAGAAGTTTTCAATGGATTAATTCAATGCTAGGCAGGGTTCCAGAGTAACACTGTTTCAAAAATACAAAATCAAAAACAAAATACAAGGAACATTCCACTATTGAAATACTATCTCTATTTATACTGCATATAGAAATTAATGGTTGTTTTTGAGTGATTTTTACTTATGTTACCGATAGACTAGGCATTTGCTAATGAACACACTTCATCTCATTATCGCAGTCTGAAACATATGCAAATTATTCTGTCAAGTCGCTTGATAATGTTGCTGGTTTTCTGTATCCTCACAGAGTTTCATCTACTGTACTATTAGTCACCAAAAGGAGAATGTGGCAAACTCTCACTGTAGTTATGAATTTTCCTATTTCTTCTTGACATTATGTCACAGATTTCTTCATGTTATTGAAGCTCTGTGAAAATATGCTTAAGAAATTAAAGCATATTAGGAATTAAATAACTGAACTGGAGAGATGGCTCAGCAGTTAAGAGCAAGGTTTGTTCTTCCAGAGGACTCGGGTTCTGTTCCGAGCACTCACATGGTAGCTAACAACCATCCATAGCTCCAGTTCCAAGGGATCCAATATCCCCTCTGGCCTCTTAGGGCATTGCACAATATGGATACACTTATATATACACACAGTAAACACTCAAACAAGTGAAAAACATCAATCAATTAACTAATTAAAAATAAAATTAAGCAACCCTTGAACCATGCAATATTTTTGCTCTGAAATTTATTTTGTCTGGTATTAATAGACATATTTCTATTTTCATTACCTCCATGTATTTTTAATAAGTTTAACTTAGTTACATATTATATTTAAAATGTATTTCTTCTAGATGATAGATAGATGTATATTTTAAATAAATATAGCTTTGCTTTTTCTTAGCTGAAATATTTAAGCCATTTACATTTGAAATGAAAATTGATATAATCAATATATAAATTAAACATTAAGTATCTTTGGTGTATATAACACCTTTTCATTTTCTTTCTTTTTTCTTTGCCTTGTTTTGTATCAATTATAAATTTTACTGATTTTAATTTCATCTCATTTTATACAAATTAACTATAATATTTTATTATTTTAGGCAATGCTTTAGAATTTATGGTATACATTTTTAACTAATCAAGCCTATTTTCAAGATAACTTAAAGCTTCAGAAACTTATCTCTATAAACTAAAATAAAGAATATTTTAGGTTTAAACTCATATGCTTAAGATCTCTTATTATTGTTGCTACTATTATCATTAGTAGTAGTAGTGTTAGTATTGGTATTATTTGTGACAGAGTCTCATAATGTAGTCCTAACTGGGACTGAACTCAAGATACCACTGTCCTAGGCTGTCTGAATGACTGGATTGCAGATGTGTACCACCATGTTCACTGAGGAATGTTTATTATAATATCCAACTTAGGTATAATCAAAATATGACTTACAATAAAGAAATGGGAATTCACTAAGCAACTTAGAAAGTTATGAAAGTGGATTGACACATACTTTTCACTGAAAGAATATAAGCAGAGTTCACCTTTTGTCTAATAAAGTTCAGGGAGGAAGTAGTCCATAAATTGTCAGTTTCATAAATGATCATGGCTTTCCATTATAACAAAAGAATCCACCTGGTGTGGTGGTGCATGCCTTTAATCCCAGCACTTGAGAGGCAGAGAAAGGCAGATCTCTGTGAGATAGAAACCAGTGTGGTCTCCACATTAAGTTCCAGGCCAGTTGGAGATAGATATAGGGAGAAAGAGAGAGAGAGAGAGAGAGAGAGAGAGAGAGAGAGAGAGA